GGCACTTGCTTCTGTCTGGAGGCTAATTGTTATTTTAAATCTCTTAAGTGGCTTCAGGGTAAGGTGTTTTCCAGTAGATTGTCTCAACTGTCTTCCCCCCAGGCAAGGCCAATGTGGATGTGGGAAAGATGGCCTCAGATGTGTGAGGTAATGACTCAGCCCAGGAAACTTGGGGTGTCTGCCTTCTGAGCTCTATCTCCTGTCTCCAGTCTATTTCACCCTTCCTCTGCCAGAGCACAAGGTGGGTGGCTCCCCAGGGAATTTTGTGCATTGACCCTTTAAGAGGGTGCCTGAATTTTCAGCTGTCACTCTCTGCAGACAGCACCCTGCTGCTTTTCACAGCCAGACGTTATGTGGGTACCCTCATCAGTTTTGGTGCTCTCTACTGGGGGGCCCAGCTTGGGGATTAGATACCAGAGTTCTCAGTGGCAACCCCCTACAACTGAGCTATCTCTATATGACTTCAGTTGCTGTCTGTGGGCACCCAGCCAGTTCTTTTGCACCTCTGCCCTTTCTACCAGTCTCTATGTGGTCTCCACTTTCGTTCCTTGGGTGTTATGATTCTCACCTGCGAGTTTTCTGTTAATTATTCAGGAAAATTTTCTGTATTTTAGTTGTAATATCAATTTATTCTTGGGAGCATGTCCGTGCAGCAGGCACTTACTCTGCTGCCATTTTTAATCCCCGTCAATTCTTTATCTTGCTTTTGAGAGCCAAACATTGGACCTGACCTGGAAGAAGTAAGTACCCCACTTAAAGTGCATACTGTGTCGCTAGAGGGTGGCTTGTTTTCAGGGACAATCCCCCAGGGAATTGATAACTTACCACTTGTTTGACAGCAAGATAAGCTCAGAAACATTCAGGGTGGAGCTAACAAAGGTTAGTAATTGGATGTGATACTAAAATACCTTGACCTTAACTTTTTTACATTATTATGTTTTAATCTCCTTTGGGATTGGGAGGCTGGTCAAAATAATTGTTGAAACTGCTTGTGTCATATTTGGGTTTGAAGTTTATGAGATTTGGAACAGTGAAGAGAAATATAGAGTATTTTATGCCATTTAATGCCTGGTTCTGATTAAAATATAACAACATAAAAAAATAAAACAAAATATAACCAAGGGCATGGAAAAATGAAACAGACTGACAAATCTCAGACTGAAGGGGTGAGGGGGGTGTAGGAAGAGATTAACCAAATATCTTATATGGATATATGCATTATCTATGCTCACAGACAATAGAGTGGTGAAGGCCTGGGGCAGGGTGGGGAACCGGGTGGAAGGGGGCAATGGGGGAAAAAGGAAACATCTGTAATACTCTCAACAATAAGATTTTTTTTTCATTTTTAAATATATTTTTATTGTTGATAGTATTACAGATATTTCCCATCTCCCCCCTTCCCTCTCCTCCCAACCCTTACTCCCCTCCAGGTCTTCACCATCTTATTGCCCACATCCATGGGCTATGCATATAAGCATATAAGTTCTTTGGTTTATCTCTTCTTGTCCCCCTAACCCCACATTGAGGTATGTTAGTCTGTTCCATGCATCCCTGCCTCAGGTCTTATTTTGTTGGTCAATTCATTTTGTTCATTAGATTCCACAAATAAGTGAGATCAAGTGATATTTATCTTTCTCACGTTGGCTTATTTCACTTAGCATAGTATTTTTTCAGGTCCATCCATTCTGTCCCAAAGGGTAAGAGATCCCTCTTCTTTACAGTTGCGTAGTATTCCATAGTGTAAATGTCCCACAGCTTTTTTATCCATTCATCTACTGATGGGCTGTTTCCAAATTTTAGCTATTGTAAATAACGCTACAATGAACATAGGGATGCATATATTCTTTCTGATTGGTGTTTTAGGATTTTTAGGATATATTTCCAGAAGTGGATCATTGGGTCAAATGGAAGTTCCATTTTTAGTTTTTTTGAGGAAACTCCATACTGTTTTCCATAATGGCTGCACCAACCTACATTCCCACTGGCAGTGAACTAGTGTTCCCTTTTCTCCATATCCTCACCAGCACTTGTTGATTTTTTGATGATAGTCATTCTGACAGGTGTGCAGTGATATCTCATTGTGGTTTTAATTTGCATTTTTCTGATGATTAGTGACTTTGAGCATTTTTTCATGTGTCTCTTGGCCATTTTTATGTCCTGTTTGAAGAAAAGTCTATTCAGGTCTTCTGCCCATTTTTTGATTGGAAGACAAACATCCAAATAAAAAATGGGCAAAAGATCTGAATAAACAATAAGGATTTAAAAATTTGTCAAAAAATGGTAACTATGGGAGATGATGTGTTAACTAGTTTGATTGTGGTAATCATTTTCAATATAAAATGTATATGCATAGCCAATCATCATGCTGTACACCTTAAATATACACAATTTTTAGTTGTCAATTATCTTATATAATAAAAGGGTAAGTGCAAATTGACCTAAAGGTGGAATGACCAGAACACCTGCTCAACCAGTCACTATTAGGCACACTGACTACCTCTTGGTCCCTTCCCCCGGCCGTCAGTCTCCAATCACCCAATGGCCAATGGGGAACCAGGGTGGGTGGTGGGGCCAGCGAGTGGGCGGAATGGCCGACCTTTCGGTCCCTCACCGTGTCCAGCAGCAGGGGGCGCGGCCGGCTTTGGGCAAGGGAAGAAGATGGCCCTGATCGCAGGCAAGGCCTAGGGACCATACCTGCATATGAATTTTGTGTGCCAGGCCTCTAGAATCTTGATAAAGCTGAAAAAAACATAATATTTAATTATCCATGTCAGAACTTTAGGGATCAAATAATTAATTGGGCTATTAAAATATTGCAACTGTAATGAGTCTGCATTTCTTTATATTATTAATTTAGCAATCCTTTATAATAAAGAGGTAATATGCAAATTAACCTTCATGCCCTCACAAGATGGCTGCCTACAACCAAGCTGGAAGGGGGGTTAGTGAGGGACAACCAAATGACTGACCAAGCAGGCTGCATGGGGCGACCAGGCTGGCATGGGGTTAGTGAGGGACAACCAAACAACTGAGCAAGCAGGCTGCGTGGGGCGACCAGGCCGGCAGGGGGGTTAGTGAGGGATGACTAAATGACTGAACAAGCAGGTTGCATGGGGCAACCACGCTGGCGGGGGTGCTGGGAGTGGTGACCAGGCCGACGGGGGGGGGGGGGGAGGCAGTTGGGAGCGACCATGACAGCAGGGTGGGGGAGTTAGGGGCAACCAGGCCAGCAGAGGAGGGTGAAGTTGGGGGTGACCAGGCCAGCAGGGGGGGCAGTTGGGGGTGATTAGGCTGGCGGGGGGGCCAGCTAGGGCAACCAGCCTGGCAGGGGGTGCAGTAAGGGGTGACCAGGCTGGTGGGGTAGGCAGTTAGGGGCAATCAGGCTGGCACGCAGAGGCAGTGAGGAGCGATCAGGCCGGCGGGCGGGGGGCGGGGGGCATTTAGGGGTGACCAGGCAGGCAGGCAGGTGAGTGATTAGGAGCAATTAGGAGCCAGCAGTCCAGAATTGTGAGAGGGATGTCTGACTGTCCAGCAGTCGAACATCCCCTGAGGGGTCCCGGATTGGAGAGGATGCAGGCTGGGCTGAGGGGACACCCCCACTTTGTGCATCGGGCCTCTAGTACAATCATAAAGTTAAATTAATTTGAAAAACCAACAACAAAGGTCTTCTCCTTCCCAGAAATGTATTGCATATATAACCATGAATAAAGAACAGTGAGCCACCTTGTTGAAATTCTTGCTCTCACACTGCAGTCATACAGAATGTGAATCAATCATGGGTCTCATCAGCAAAATCACAAATTTCTTCATGTCATTTCCCCTTGAAAATAATTAAACAGTGAGTATCAAATCTATAAATGTCAAAAGCTTGCTATACCTCTATTGCACTTATGCTTGTATCACCGAGCACATTGCACTTATGATAACATGAGCTTCTTGGGGATAGGGCCCCTATTTTGTCATTCTTTTATATTAAATTTGACCTAACACAAAGCAACTTCTCCAAAAACGTGGTGAATTAAATTGCTTCCCTAATTGGTCTCTCTGCTCCCAGGCTATTCTCCTCTCCAAAATTCCGCCAGTTCTTTGACAAAAATACATCAATGATGATGTAATTTTATTGTTCCAAAACCTTTAATGGCTGTTCATAATCTATTTCACAGGACAATGTCCACACACTCTGTCTGGGCATACAAGGACCTTCAAACCCTGCCCTTAGCCTATATTCTCAGTCTCACACCCAGCTTCTCCTCTTCAGATACCCTCTTCTCAAGCTTTACTAGTTGTTCCTAGAAAACCTTGGATTTTCATTACTCTATGCCCTTGGAAATGCTGTTTCCTCTGTCTAAAGGTCCTTCCATTCTCATATGTCTGGCAAAGTCATATTTATTATTAAATATAACTATTTTGTAGCTTTTTCTGACCCCTCATAGAATTACTGTCTCCCCCATTTGTTTTTTTCTATTTTAATATGTTTATTTATTCTGAAAATGGACTGAGTTAACTCCGAGAAGTGAAGAAGAGACAGAAGGAGGAAGCGTCCTGCCAATGGACTTACCCAAGCAGCGACTGCAGCATTACGTGTAAAGCATATTGTTTAAGCAGCAATAGGACGAGGAAGCTAAATGATCTTTAAGTTATGAGATGTTAAATTGCATCTTTCACACTGCATTTACGTGTGCTCATTTATGCGTGAGGGGGGCAGGGTGCAAAGAGAAAGAGAGAAACAGAGCTCAGAGAGATGAGCCTGGACGCAGTGCAGCAAGAGCAGATGGGCAGACCCATATTTCTTCTGTTTTACAGTTTCTAGCCCTGCATCTAGCGCTGTAGCAAGTGGGTGGGAGAGGAGGAAATGGGAGGGCTTGTACTCTCTCTGAGCGTGCCCAGCCTCAACGGCCTGACAGATCACCTTCCGCTCCCCAAAGGCCAGTTCCTATTCGCCATGACTCATGCCTTTTGTGCCAGCCTGGGAGCTCTCTGCCCTGCAGCTCCACAGGTGGTATCAGCTCGGTGAGAAGGTTCCCGCCAGGGTAGGCAGTGGAGCGCCGCACAACGCGCCTTCCAGCCTCCCAGCTGCAGCCCCAGTAGTTCAGACCCAGCGCCAGCAGGCCTGCTAGATCGATCTTCGAGCTGAAGATGCGTCGGGGCTGGAAGATGGCTCTGTCCGCGGGGCTGCGGGGCTGCCGCCGGGTACTTTCCTGGGTGCCAGTACTCGTCATCGTCCTCGTCGTGCTCTGGTCTTACTATGCCTACGTCTTTGAGCTCTGCCTGGGTAAGTGGAGCTGGGCACCTAAGGTAGGGAAATTATGCTCCAGCATAACCGTCTGCCCTACCCTTCACACTGGTGTTCCCTGTGTTCTTAGCCCTCACACTGCGGTTTTTTTCTTTAGTTCCCTGGGGGAGCTCCTCACCTCCAATCTCCGGCTGGCTTCCCACAATATTCCATGCGCTCCCCTCCCCCAGGGGGTCCCACCTTGTCGCCATGGCTTCCCACATAGGGTTTCTTACATTATTTCCTGGCCTTTCCCACAAGAAATTCCATGCTCTTCCCACTAGGGCTCCCTTTTCTCCTACAGGACAAACACTGTGTCTTGTGTTCTCATTTTGGGAGCTCCTGCCCTACTAAAGTGAGAAAACAACATATCCAATATCCTTAAACTGTTCACTTACCATATATTACAAGTCTTACCAACTAGGAGCATCCAACTAGGAGCCCCACATTTTTCCAAACCCTCTTACTAGGAATCTCAAAATATTTCCTGTATTTTCTTACCAGGCTCTCCTTTTTTTAATGCGGGGATTCATCCTTTTCCCATGTTCTCTCACGCTAGATGACGTGCTTTACATCTTCTCCCACTTGGGACCCCCCAGTATACTTGTTCTATCACACTGAAGTTACCCCTTTTCACAAACTGGCAAGACATCCATTCTCTTCCTCAGTGGGCTTCAACATTTTTCATCCTCTCCAATGGAGTTGAAGTCCTACAATAATATATCCTGCCTTGTCCCCTCACACTAGAGCCCCTGACTTTATCACACTGGGGTTCCCTTAGTCTTTCTGCTTTGAGGAGCATTCAATATTTTCCTTAGAAGCTCCACATTATTTTCTGACATCTCATACTAGTCACCCTGCTTTTTATAAGACTATGGTCCTGCCTTGTCCATTTCTTTTCACACTAGAGTGTCCTCTTTACTCTCCCACAAGGGTTCCAACAATAGCTCTCATGTCCCTTCCAAGGGCCACAACTTTTCTAATGATGATTCTCCTTTTACCTTTTTAAAAAATCTACTCCCCGATTCCTGAAGTTTTCTTCCACTGTTAGTTACACATTTTGCCATCCTCTTTCTCAGAGGTTTCTTATTATTTTCTCTTATTTCCCACTAGTATTGCACTTGTACCCTGTCTTCTCAAACAAGAAAAACACCATCTGTTCCCTCTGGAGTTTCTAATATTTCCCACCCCTTTCAATGGGAGCCTAATTTCTTGCCTCCCCTTCATTAGAGCACTCATTTTATAAATTTGAGGTCTCCTCTTGTACTTTGTCTTTTCATACTAAGGAGTATTCCATCTCCTCTTTATCTATAAAATAGTTCCCACACTATATTCTAGTCTTATAAACTCAGAATATTTCTAGACTTAAACCCCAAGACCCTATTCTGTGTTTTCCCCACTTGGATAACCCCCAGTCCCCTATCTTTATCACTAGTGTCCTTATCAATCCACAGTGGACTTTTCATATGATATCATGTCTCCTCACAACAGAACCTCTGCTTTTTCACAGTGAGATCTCCCCTTGCCCCTATTCTTTCATATTGAAGAATTTCCATCTCTTCTCTGAGATTCTACTAATAGTTATTGTCATTTCTAGAATCCCACTTGTAGCACCTTTAAACTTGTGTCCTATAATGTTCCCTACTCATTCAGTATGAGCTCCCAGTCTATTTCCAGTCCCCTCACATTAGGACTCTTATTTGTTCTGTTGGATATTATCTCCCAAGTCCTTCCAAGACTGCTTTATTTCTTCATACCAGATTCTTATCACCTTAAAAATTATAGTTAGGGTCCTGCTTTTTCCAACGCCAGTACTGAGTTCACTAGGGAGGCAGGAGATAACCCTATTTTCCAATATAGAATTTTCTTCTAATCAATTCTGTGTATTAGAGTTTGAATTTTCCTCATTTTCTTAGATTTATTGTAGAAAATGCATTATGAGTTATTAAGATTAAATTCAATTAGTTGCCTTCATAGATACAGATTTTGGCTTTGTTTTTCTTTTTATCTAAATCTGGTATGGAGGTGCATTAAGTGGGCTGTGAAATGACTGACTGGAAGTTTTTCTCTTCGTAGACCTTACCCTTACTTTTGTGAAGGGTTAATAGAAGGATTAAAAGTTCAGCTCCATCATTATGGTATGGATTTTATTGTAAATACTATTAAACATATTTTAGAGCTTTTCAATACTGACCTACATGAGCTTTGCCAAGCAACATTTTAAAAATTAATAATGATTATGGATAATACTTACATAGTGCTTAATATGTGCCAGACTATGTTCTAAGTACTATAGATATATTAACTCTCTATCAAGTCATTTAATCCTCACAATAACCATACAAAGCAGGTACCATTACTGTTCATTGTGCATATGTGCAAACTGAGGCTCAGATGAGCAAAATGAGGTAAAGACCAACTTAGAGTCAGTGCAGGTAATCAGCTTTCCACAAGTTCCAATTAAAACATACAATATTAAAAGCTGAAAAGTAATGTAGAGCTTTTTTTTGGTTTGTTTTATTTAATATATTTGCAGAGCACTTGTTACATGTCAGACTATTTTTAAATGACTCGATACACCTTTCTCTCTCCCCCTCTTCCTCCCTCTTGCTCTCCCTTAATCCTCATACTAAACTTATGAAATACATAATATCATTATTCTTATGTTAAAGACAAGACAACTGAGACACAGACAGAGCAAGAAGCTTGCCAAAGGTTACAGAACTAGTAAATAGTCAAAGCTTGGATGGCAACCCAGGTAGTAGGCTCCACAGTTCATGTTTTAATCACCACAGTATCCTAACTCTTTGCCTCCTTTGAAATAATACAGAGGTCAAAACTTATAACTTACTGGCCAAATGTAGCCTGCAGATGTTTGTTATTTGGCCTGAACAATGTTTTCTTAATATTTTGCGCCAGTTGCTATTATTTAAAAAACAACAACAGGAGAGTAAGGTAGCCTTGTCATCCAGTTCTGGCTCCATCAACCCACCCTTTCATGTTCATTTTACAATCTTTAACAAATTAGAGACCTGGCTTTTAGAAAGGTTAAATGAAATTTTTCTAAAGTCACATGTTTATTAAATTAATGGAAAATTGGACGTCAAGGCTACCTGATATCAAAGCAATACAACCAAATTAACAGAATTAAGTTTCAATATGACTAAAAAAAGTAATATTAAGGACTTAATTTCTTTCCAGAAATAGAACCTGATGTCTTTCTCTCTAATGTGAGGTTAGAGCTGAAGCCAAAAATGGTATATTTTTATTTTATATTATTTTCTTAAATTTGTCTTACAGTTCTTAGAGTTTGAATTCTGCTACTTACTAACTAGAAGACATAGGGAAAGTTGAGAAAATTCTCAACCTCAGTTGCTTCACATATACCTTACTTGTGGGCTTGTTCATTCATGCCACAAATACTTGCTTAGCATCTATTATATGCCATTATAACATTGTGAGATTTTAAATAATATGGTACATGAAAAACCTGCATCATAGTTGACAACAAATTATACGTTAAATAGTAACCTGCTATTACTATTATTAATGAGGATATAAAGAATTCTGCCTGGCTCAAGAAAATAAGCAGCTCAGACTTTTAGATGGAGGGAATAAAGAGTCTCCACTTTTGCTTGTGTGTGTGTCAAGTAGGATACTTGTTTTTTGAATATTTATTGATGAAAGTATGGGGGAAATAAAAGGGACTTCTGTAAGAGAATCCACTTTTTAGGTAAAATTCACGTAACACAAAATTAACTGATTTTATTTTTTTTTAATCCTTACCCAAAGATATTTTTCCATTGCTTTATAGAAGAGAGTGAAAGAGAGGGAACAGGGCCCAGGCTGGGGAGGAGCCTGCAACTGAGGTACATGCCCTTGACCAGAATCAAACCCGGGACCCTTGGGTCCGCAGGCCAACGCTCTATCCACTGAGCCAAACCGGCTAAGGCAACTATTTTTAAAGCGTTAAATTCAGTGATCTTTAGTACATTCACAATGTTGTCCACCATAACCAATATCTAGTTTCAAAACATGTCTTCACTCCAAAAGGAAAACTCATTGTCATTAAACAGTCACTTGCCATTTTCTCCTCCCCTAGTCTCTAACAATCACTAATCTGTGTTTTGTCACTATGGATGTACCTATTCTAGATATTTCACATAAATGACATAACACAATACAGGGTGGGGCAAAAGTAGGTCTACAGTAGTTCATATGGAAATTAATACAATAATTAATCTATAATAATAAAAGCATAATACACTAATTAGACCGGACGTCCTTCTGGATGACCTTCCGGACAAAGCTGGGGCTGTGAGGGAAGCCCAGGTCCTGGGTGCCAGAGGGAAGCTGGTGCTGGCAGCCGGGAGAAGGAAGGCCTACTCTTGCACGAATTTTGTGCATCGGGCCTCTAATAAATAATATATAAGAATAAACTCATGTACTCACAACTATAAACCTACCTTTGCTCCACCCTGTATGTATCCATTTGTGTCTGGATTGTTTCAATTAGCATAATGTTTTTTAGGTCCATCCACATTGTAGTATGTAACAGTACTTCATTTTTATGGCTAATATCCCATTTTATGTACATATCACACTTTATCCTTTCATTAGTTGATGGACATTTGAGTTGTTTCCACCTTTTGTCTATTTTGAATAGTGCTGCTGTAAACAAGTATTTGTTTGAATACTTATTTTCAATTCTTTGGACTAACTACCAGAGATAGGGTTAGAAATTGCTGGGCTGTATTGTATGTTTAACTTTTTAAGGTACCTCCAAAATAATTTCCACAAAGGTTCTAACAATTTGACATTCCTATCTGTAATGAAGGAGGGTTCCAATTTCTCCATATTCTCACAAATACTTGTTTTCCATTTTTATTACAGACATCATAGAGGGTATGAATTTTAGGATCAGCTTTTCTACTTCTGCAAAATGGTCCATGGAATTTTGATTGCACTGAATTTGTATATAGTTTTGGAGGGAATTGTAA